GTGAGAGAGAGAGAGAGAGAGAGAGAGAGGAACTACTTGTTATGTCCGCCCATAAGCAAATTAGTACAAAAATTGGTTAATTCATAAAATATTACAAATATTAGCCAAAGAGCTATTTATAGCCAAAAAAGGTCAAAGTTTTGCATTCTTTTGAGTGGATGTTGTTGGAATGAGTACATCTTAAGGAGTTTGAATCTCAGTTTTCGGATTATTTGTGGAGTTTTGAGATAGTTTGAATTGAAAATTCGAAGTAGAAGATGAACATGAAAAAAGATATGTGTATCACACAGTGTATCATTTATGTATCATGTGCATCTAATGTGTATTATATGTATATCTATGTATACTTGTATATGAGATTCATGCATGATACATGTGTTGCGGAAGAATTTTTAAACTCAATTTTAACTACAAATTTTGATATCAAACCAGTCCAACTAACCTTTGATCTTGCTCAAATGTATACTGCCTCACCTAGATGATTTCAACGAATTCCAACCATACCCATTGAAAAAAGTCATTTTTTGCCTAATATTTTTTAGTATTGTAATTCACCTTTTTTGCCTAATTTTGACTCCAAACTAATCTAATATACCTTCAAACTTCCTCAAATTTTGTATATTACCTCATCTATGTATTTTCAACGAATCGCAACAATACCCATTAAAATTTTTTTTTTCCGCTTATGTTTTTTGAATGTTGTATTTCATTGATTATCTTTTTGGCTATTTTTGATAGCATGATTAAATGGCTAATTGTCGGCAAATAGTATCTTTTTTGGTACATTTCCATAAGATTCCCCAAGTAAAATGTGTGCGGGTGTGTGAAAGCCCACTACAATCTCAACAAATAAATTCAAAAGGACCATGAGTTAGAGTGCTAAACTCTTAAAAGTCAAACCCATCAAGTTTAAATCCTAATGAATCCCCTCGTACGGCTGTAACGGTGGACAACCCTTGTGCAAAGTCATTAAAACAATTCAACATAACATACATTCTAACACCTTCCAAACGAAAGAAAAAAGAGAACTCCATAACAAGGTTTCCAACAGCTCTTGTGCAAAAGTCATGTCATTAATTTATCTAAACACAAAATAAATATTCTACGAACTCCAAACGAGGTTTACCTCTTATTCCTAGCTATCATCCCATGCAAATATCACAGCAGTAACACAAAAGATTGCCAACTGAAAACAAATGCAGCCTTAACTTTTTTTCTCCAACTTCAGCTCATTAGCTACTGAAATTACCAATTGTGCTGCTTTTACTTTACTTTCTTAGAAGTCTTATATGCTTCACTGTCCAACTCCAATTTTTCCTCTTCTCGAGCAGATTTGTGTCCCAAACTCAGAGATTATATGAACAATCCATAAATACTCAGAAAACTTTTGACATCTGTCTTTTCCTTTTCTTGCTTTGATTGTTGTTCACATCGGCTGATGTAAAGAAGATGGACATCATCGTCTATCTGTACCCAGAACCTGCAACACTGTGAGTCCTATAAATCACCTTTTACATCACTTGACACGATACACAATAATGAACATGTCAAAATCTAATAATGAGATGCCTACAAATATTGAGGACACTCAGCAATTTCTTCTGCCAGGAATTGTCTATCCAAAATCTTCATAGGCAGAAAACCTCCACTTCGCATGTCACGTCAACCTTTAGCTAGCTTAGGGTCATCCGTAGTTATTAATCAACTTTCGTCAGAGTGTTAAGGCTCCAAGCAAACAACTATGAAAAGAGCTGTACATCACAAATATATTCAGCTATGAAAGAGCTGATGAAGTAAAATTAGTGGTCAAATTTCTACAACTATAATCTAATTAAAATAAAGTGGCTCTTTAGACTATTTAAACACATTTCTGCTTTATTCCACTCCATAGTAACTCTTTTTCCAGGGTACATAGCAACAACTAAAGTATGCCACGAAGAGCAACTATGTCTACAAGTAAACAAAGTATTGACGGCGGGGGGGCGGGGGTGTTGGCAAGTGCAGAGATAAATGAACCAAATTTAACTTACAGTTGATACTTGGTACCACTGCCAGATGAACAAGTGACATTAGGAAATTCATCTTGGGCTTCAATTAATTGCCTGACCTCAAGTTGAGGGAGCAATCATGAATCGGTATGTCAAAAGCCAGTCCAAAAACATGTCTTCATGATATGATGTATGCACCGTCCTACATTTTTTAGGTAATCACATTAGTGAAGCTGGAGAGTGAATTCTCGATGACAGGAAGCACATCATTGTAAACACTCAAACCTTAGATAGTACATACATCATTGAATGTGAATTTGTCTGATATCTTCAGGGATGGCAACAGCCATTCCGACAAATAGATGGGCTGCTTTTGATATTTCCCACTATCATCTGAAGAATAATGAGAAAGCCAATTTTTTATTCATGGAAAGAGCAAGAGAATATGACTGGCCTAAATGACTTGGAGCCATACCTGAAGGGCGCACAAGTATTCTGTGAGAAACAAAGGACTGTAACAACCAGAAAAGATTATTAAGGCTAATAAGCTGCTTAAAGTCCAAATATTCAGTTTAATCATGATGCCTTCACGCCTTCAATCATCTAATTCACACGAACACACACATCTTAGATACTTAGGAGACATCATAAAATACCTGCCACACAGAAGGCATATACTCCCGATACAGTTGAACACTAGCACTACTTCTGATGGTCTTCGAGTCCAAGGTACCCTCAACAGACAACTGTCCTATAATCCTGTTTGAGTAGTTGAAAATTAGAGAATGATAAATGTGAGAAAGAAGACTATTCATATAATTAAGCAGCTTTAAATCATCAAGAGATGAACTTATGACAACAATAAGCATCAGCATTCAATTAGATCTGGAGCAACTGAAGAGTTCAATAAACATGGTATGCAGGACTTTTTGCATTACCCATAAAATTACAGTTCACTCGATCAAATTCAAAAATGGTACACACACTGGTCCTAAACTGGTACTTTCAAGGTCGTAAACCACTATTGATGATCAACTAGATGTTACTTGTTTAGTTGAAAAATCAGAACACAAACTGTCCACTATTGAAGGGGAGCCTTGGCAGTAACGGGTAAAGTTGCTGCCATGTGACCAAGAGGTCACGGGTTCAAGCTGTGGAAACAGCCTCTTGCAGATATGCAGGTTAAGGATGCGTACAATAGACCCTTGTAGTCTGATCCTTCCCCGGACCCCGCGCATAGAGGGAGCTTAGTGCACCGGGCTGCCCTTTTAAACTGTCCAAACCAATGAGCCCAGAACATGAAATTAAAACCATTGCGCATTGACAAACAGACAGTACATATAGGGCGTTTTTCCCCACCTATTCTAGGCAGGATAAATTATCATATTATCAGTTCTTTTGTTACCCAAATTTTATTAAAATTAGCGCTGTCAAATATGGCCCAAGCCCAAATGACCCGCCCAACCCGTCCAAGGTTGGGCTAGTTATTGACCCACCCATTTATTGAACTCAATCCATCTTGACCTAGCCCATCTCAACCCATTAAAGTTGGACTGATTTTTAGCCCAAATTGATCCATGAGTAACTTTGCCGAAATATCTTAGATAATTCTTTTTTGTTTGATATGTTGTATATGACCGTAGTCTTCTTTTCGCCTTCTTCAGCCGAGGGTCTATCGGAAACAGCCTCTACCTCTCGGGGTAGGGGTAAGGTCTACGTACACACTACCCTCCCGGGATTTCATTGGGTTGTTATTGTTGTTGTTATTGTTGTTGTTGTTGTTGTTGTTGTATGTTGTATATGACTATAACAAAAGGAAAAAAGCTTTATTTAGTAATTATACAATTCATAAGAAAACAACATATATTAATTAAAGCTTGGTAAGAGTTGGGTGGGTTGGGTTATGACGCAAATTTTAACCCCTCTTGACCCAACCCATGTTAACCCAAGTAACTTTTGGCGGGTCAACTCAACCTATTTTGACCCGCCCAAAATCGGCCCAACCCGCCCATTTGATACCCCTAATTAAAATGCAATACAAGATTTATTTTATTTCGCTTTAGCCAAAAGAAATGTAATGAAACCAACCTAATTTCGCGTGTTGTATATTTATCCTGTAAACTTGTTGCTTTTGTAGTTAGAACAAGCATCGGATGCACCAAAAGGATCTTCTGGATCTCTTGAACAACACTCTCTGACACACATTGCAGAGACAGACTTTTCCTGGTAATAAGACAATTATCTAATGCTAAAAAATTCATAGACTATAATTTAAGAATAAGAATCGCAAAAGAAAGGTGCAACTTATTCAGGAAGAAAAGGAGCATACTGCATATATGTATACATGAGAAGTACACCAATGAGTTTCTCTGTCCTTACTTCACATTATTTTATAAGATAGGAAAATAAATGAAAGAGATACAATCCTCGTTCCCATCTTCTTACCATTCCTTTTCCCTCCTAAGAACCAAACATAAGTGTTAACGTAGAGAATGCTGGGTGGGAAACATAAACAGATGAAAACAAGCAGAAGGAACTCGTAATCATTAATATAGTGCTCGAAGTATGCACTTGATTTAACATGTGACGTTCCCCATCTCCATGAGAAAAGAAGAAAAAGAAATGACAATTGAACTGGGGTTTATTCAACATGATAGAGTTATACGAAAACAAAAGAAAGACAACTAACTATAAACTTCATTATATGAATGGAGTTATACATCTAAAACGCATGCAGAATAGGAGCTCTTAAGAAGCACCATTCTCAAACTGAAAAGACTATGTTTTAAATCTTTTAAGCACTCTCCAAGAGCTGAGGCAGGTTTTGCAAGAGCTATTTATCGTGCATGTGAATTTAGTATAACACAACCAGAATTTTGGCATGACCAAGAATAGGTTCATTTGTTAAGATGAATCCAAAAGTATGAAATTGTAAAACAGGCTAATAAACACAAACAGACAGGTGCCTAATAAACTCGAAATTGTTTTTATGCACATGCAAGGGGGAAAAAAGATATACAGTGAATAGAATACAAATTTTGTCAGCAAAACGTTGCATATTTGCACTTCTTATCCTCTATGTTTGACTGCTGATAGTCACTTTCTAACTAACAAATAGGTAACAGAAACTGCAGCCTTACATAACACCACGAAACTGCTACATAGCAAGGTGCTTAAGGGGAGGTACATGGAGACATAAACAAGCTTTAAGGCTTCTCCATTACTCATTCTTTTCGGGGTTCATTTCAGATTGCTTCTTTCATTAGTTTTTCCTCTTTTATATGTAAGACATCATAGTGGACTCTAACCTGTTAATGCTCCCTGGTGGTATAGAAGGTGAAGCACGATCCATCCAATAAAAAGCTCCAATACTGGTCATACAAGAGAAGCAACATATCTTAGTAAGGTACAGAATTTAGTTAAACCACTAAGGAGTGTTAGAAAAAGGAAAAGACCTAAAGAAGACAAAAGGAGAAGGAACACAGAGAATGTCTGAACACAGATCAGATGATCTAACCAATAACCACCAAATAGATAATTTACAGTGAAGTACAGTCCTAATGTCTGAACACAGATCTGGTGCATTAACAGAGAACAGCTAAATGGATACAGTCCTTTGCAACATACATGTCAAATCTAGTCAAGAAAAAATCTAGTCCAAGTGAAAACAGGACAAGAATGTATTTCCCACTCCCAGGCCCCCAGGTGCACTGCCAATGAAACAGACAAGGAACTATAAAAATTAACACAAATTTCCAATAACAAGGCACCTTTTGATAAATTGGTAATTTCCTTGGACATTGCCCTGATAAAACATGACGAAAATGTCATTTTAAAGAAGACTATCTTACTATTGGTTTCTATCAGCATACCATAGGATTGGTTGTTTTAACATGGCCACATGAAGAAATTGGCACAATGCCTAATTACAAAGATAAGTCTGGATTTATGACTGGTTTTCAAAGGTTGAGAATTATGCACTATGAGGAGATGTTTGATTTATGTATCCATATACTTATCCTAAGAATAATTTTATATTTTAAGTTGATCTGAAAACGTTTCACGCATAAACAAGGACAAATTTGACCCTTTTTAAGCCCAATTCTGGATGTTATCATCGTTTAGATACCTTTCCTTCTTTGCTATAACTGTTTACGTATTCTTCATCTTATCATGGGGATTTAACACATCTTCAATTTCTAAACATGTTCATACAAATGCTTTTCATTTCGATGGAATCCAGTGCTAGGTCAATGTAAGACCCTCGCCACAAATGATAATCTTGTTTATAGTAATCAACCATTAAAAACATCACGTGTTTCTCTTTGTTATTTGTATGAAACTAAAACATCAGTTAACATCACAGAGAAGAGAACATAAGAAGAAACCTGTCAATCATAAGCAAACAAACACCAGTACCATGTGCCTCTTTTTCCTTTTGAAGTTGGAGATGCATCGTCTGCAACGAAATGAGAGAAAGAATAAGCGACATGTTTGTATATGAATTGTGTTTTTTTTATTCAAAGATAAAGAAGTATTTCACGGACTTGGCCAATCAAAAAGAAAGCTTTGTAGACACAAAATGATAAATAAGAATAAATTAACAGCATATATTCACAGAGGAAAGTGTTGAATCATGTGATCAACTCATCTAAAAGTTAAAGATGATAAAGAGGACACTTTTATCTACTTTAATTATATCTTCAACACACCTCCTCATATGTAGGGCCTGATTCTTTTTTCATGAGTCAAGCACGTCGACATTCTTTTTTATAGTGGATGGCGGTGAGACTTGAAATCGGGACCTCTGTTGACCTTTGTCTAACTCTCATAAAGAGTTCAAAAAAGGACCTTGAACCTAACGCAGCTCCAAAAATTAGGTTATGATGTGAGGATTGTCAAACCCATGTAAAAAGACTGCATTTCATATTCTTAACCAATCTGGACACTCTAACACCTCTTTGCAAGACAAAGATTGGAAATCTGAAATGTGAATAACGTAAGATCAAGTCTTAACATTGAGAAAAACAACAAGGATGAATGCTCTGATACAATGCTGCAGTCTGCGACCAACAACAACAGTTATGTCTCAATCCTAAAGCAAGTTAAGATCGACTATATGACTCCTCATTGTCCCTATTACACTATCTAAACCTCTCACAGCCCAATAGCATAAAAACTTAGTTTCTCAATCACTAGACGTTCTCTATATTTTCTACTGGCATATAAATTTCTAATGAGACCTCGCAGATATTGGAACTAAGTAAACTTACTAACATGACAAAAATATAATCATAACTGATGGTATCACCTTTATAGAATTTTTTCCCATTACATCCTATTGTTCGCTAGGTATGCATAGATTCCAAGAGATTGTAGGTCTATTGAGACAACTTCTTTCCACATATGATTTTAGCTCTACTTCATTCTTTTTAACACATTCACTAAGCATGGTTTCGCATCTATGGACCGTAGCATCTGGAGGTCGATGTAGGACATGACCGGCCTTATCAAGCGAGCTTCGTATAGAATAAGGACATCTTTTGTCAGTAAAATCTAAGACAGGGACATTTATCATCCTTAAACAAAAACAGTTCAGAACTGGACGATAAGTGGGGCACATATTTCCAAGTTGTATTCCAATATATTTAACAAGAGAATGTCAACGTAGAACCATATCAACCTCTTTCAATCATAGAGACTCACTTTATTTACATCCCTAACATCAAGGAGATTGTAAATTGTCCACAATGCTGGTCGTAATAATTTTAACAAAGCATTAGCAAGGTCTAAGGAAAAAAAGCTATCTTAAGAGAACTCCCAGGTAAATCGATAGGAAAGATGACTTGTTAAAAGAGAGAAAAAGATAGGTAGGAAAAGTTAGAAGCAAAAATAGATAAACCACAGATTCTTTTTTTGTTATTTGGGAAATAGTTAACAAAATAAAACGCGGAAATTAAAACCTTAGAACACATTCTAACTCACCTTAAGAGTGGCAAGAAATTCAGAACTATCATAACAGCGTATGTACAAGAACCTTCTCATGCTGACTGCGAACAATTCTTGGTCATATTCCGAGTGCACATCCTTTGATCCACTAAGAGAATCATCCACTTTATTTAGCTTGTGGCCTACGTCATGGCATGATTAGACAAATTAAACCAAAGACTACTTGCATCAAATGTATGAGACCTTCAACATATTTTATTACTAGCTTTCTAGTAATGAAATAACTAAATAAATACTAGTACTTTCTTTTTCATTCTAAAAACAATTACTAGTTTTTCTACCCTTTTATCAGTATGTGTGTGTGTATTCTCCATTTCGTGCAAGGCGAGCCTTGGAGCATCTGCAAAGTTACTCCTTTGGAGACCCGTAGGACATGGACTTGAGGGATAAAAGTAGCCTCTTCGCAGAAGTGCTTAAAGAAGGCTGCACATGGTAAGAACATCCTCCCTCTACCCGAACTGTCAGGAAACATTTTTTGCAGGAGGTTAGTCCCTATTCTGCCTCATTTGCACCTTACCCTGCTAAGCCTCGAGGTAGTCAGTAGAATTGCCCTATGTAGTTTTGCACTGAAGACCCTATCAGAATTTGGAACTTCTAAGCTTCTCACCCATGGACTACTATTTCTACTTTCTAGTTTCTCTTATGAAAATTCTGAAGATGGACACTGGTTATTGGTTAAACGCCAGCCCCTACTATCAAGGGAGCATATGATAGCTCTCAACTCTTTCCAATTTTTAAGTGATACCTAAATGCTTTGTTTTTATTATTTTTCCTGATGATAAGTCAATGAAATGTCACCAATGTGCACCAAGGAGATGCAAATTTTATTGATACAAGTGATCAGTGTTAAACTCTAAAAATTCTATCAACTATCTACACATAAAAGGATCTTTTATTTACACCAAAAGTTTAACCAGAAAACAGAGCTGTCGATCTTCCATATGGGTCTGTCAACTCCTTCAAACATCCTCCAGTTCATTCTCTGCATATCATCCAATAGATGCATAACAGTGCAAATTCCAGACTTCCTTGCTTTCCTTCCCTAATCTGCTCAGGCTCCATGTCTCAAGGGTATCAGCAACTCTTAAGGGAGTACCGAGTAACTGTGATATACTGAACATGGAATACACCACAATACGTAGCTCCACAACATGACAAAAATGAGGAGCAAATGTTTAGACTCCTTCCCTTGTTTCTAGCACAAACACTAACAACTCATCATTATAAAACTCCACTTGAAATTCTGTTTTTTTATTGGATTTCACCAAAGGGTCACTACTAATTCTGTGCTACATATATTTTATCTTGCTTTCGAATCTTCTGTGCAGTTACTGAATGTTTTAAACTTTTTTTTTTCAAGAAATGTTAACCTGTAGAGCTTAGAGGTAAATAGCTAGCCCTACACCTCGAACATTTGAAATTATGATCAACACAAGTTACTCAAGATTGGATTCTGCAAGCAATTAGAAGATGCTCCAAAAGCAAACAGAAGAGTAGCAGCTTAGTTCATGGAACTATACTGCATTTTCCGAATTGGGTTATGCTTCTTCAATTACAGTACGATGAATTCTGCCATTCTAACACCAAAATCAATAATATCCATTTACTTCAGCCAGCTTGTCAAGATCGTAACATCATGGATGTAAATTTCAAATAATTACCTAATTCATTAAACCCAATATCCAATTACAATGAATTAACTCACAGCACCCATGGGTTCAATTCTCGCGTGTTAGAGGGCTTAGACACAACCTTGATTTATTTTATCTCCCATTTTTTATGTTACGGCCCTTCCCCGGACCCCGCGCTTAGCGGGAGCTTAGTGCACCGGGCTGCCCTTTTTTTTGGTGGTGTCCGGTCCAACTTGCACCCACACCTCGACTATTCCATTGGGTACCTGCTACATCCCACCAACATAAATACCATATAACTCCACCGACCAAAGTTTAGACAAGTGGGAAGAAATCACCTAGTGCTTTTTGCCTTTGCTGGCATTTTAACATGAGACCACATGGTTCTCATCCCACTTTGTTGACACTAGGCCACACCCTTGGTTTATCTCCCCTATTGGTCAGAATGCCTGTGTAAAAATGCAATATTACGGTAGACTACTAAAGGTAACAATTAACAAAGCATATCACCAATATTGCAACACCAAAAGATCATAACACGCACTCATTCTAAAAACTCATTTTAACTCATCCAGACCTGGCAAACTTAAGTCAACTCTCAACCTAATAGAATGGTTACCGACTTTGATAAACACACAATTGGCTGGCCAATTCAAAACAAATATTCGATCGATAGACTCAGCACATAAGCATGTTACATTTTAAGTACAACAACAACAACATACCCGTTGTATTCCCCAACAGGTAGTTCCCAATGTTTGGCACTTTCCATACTTCATGGGTGCAACATCAATAAATTCACTCATGATCAAGTTACAACCTAAGATGGCTCTTTGAATACTTTTTCAAAAACTTTTAGCGAAAAAAGCAAAAACCAAGTGGGATCTGGTGAAGTTACGTAAGCAGGCTTTACTCCTACCTTGTGAAGGTAGAGAGGTTGTTTCCGGTAGACCCACGGCTCAATGAAAGCAAATTCACAACAGTTATGACAGAACAACGGAAAGAGAAGCAATAACAACAATCAAAAAAATAATATAAACAAAGCAAAAGAAACATCACGTAATAAGGTAATAATAGAGATCTAAAAATAAGGAATACGAGGATAACACTAGTACTACAGATATGGAAAAAGAAGTCCATGTTTGAAAAGAAATACTGTTGACAACTTACTAACCTACTACCCTAATCCTCGACCTCCATACCCTCCTATCAAGGGTGATGTGTACAAGGGACTACATAAAGTTCTTCAAAGATAGATTACGAGAGATGTTCTGAATCTTCAAGGCAATGTAATATTTTTGTTTGATTCAACTGAATTGCTAAAAAGCAGTATCTGAGTGTCAATAAAAACTTTTGAAGTGGCCAGGAGTTCATTGCTACTTGCTCTTTATTTTAATTTATAAAGAGGGTTCATTGTTACAATAATTGAGGTGTTGGTCTACTTTGTATGTATAGATGATTGGCTCCATTTTGGGAGGCTTAATGTGTGTTTTTACTATATAATTCTGTAAAGTCAATACCAACTTCTTGTACTATCAATAAATACTTTGATTAATCGCAAAAGAAAAACAAAAAAAAATGTTTTGAAACTACAAGCAAGAAAAGTAACCATACATCTCCAGCAGTTGACTAAACTATAAAATTAAAGCCCCTCAAGTCTAAACAACGAGGAAATTCCAAAATACAAAATAAATAAGCTCAAGAGTAAACATCTACCATTTGCTTTAATGATCTGCCGCTTCAGTGATTGTGAAAGGCTTAACACATCAAAACGACAATCCAGGTCAATAAACATTACTAATCGCTCCAAGCCTCCATAGTTGATGCCCTTCCATGCCTTAGGCAAAATACAATTAATAGCAGCCTAGCATTGAACCAAAAAAAATAACATTATTATAAATTGAAAAGTCATATAATCCAAAAACTATGGTATTAATGCTTCTTCTTTTTTCACACTTTAACATTAGGTTTGATATTTGTTAGAAATCCTTTTAAGCAAGTTAAGGACGTGTAAGACATCGTGTAGGGATATGTGAGAGTTTTAGAGACCTCCTTATTTGCAAGATAAATTGTTTTCTTCGCCATGAAGAATAATTCCAATATTTGCAAATACTCGTTTGGTCATGTCGTTTGGGGAACTTCAAGTGAACCACTGAAAGGTCGGTAACAATGTGCATTTCAAGTGAAGCGTTTTAAATCATCAACTTCACAAACCATTTTCAAGTTAAGTTCATGTCCAAACACTTCCTATAAACTTTTCTTTTTGTGATAAGGTATAGTCCAGCTTCGCGTACCTCAACTATTTACCAGTTACCTCACACCAACCAGCACATGCAGAGACGGATCCAAGATTTAAGCTTTATGGGTATAATCTTCAAGGTTCTTAGCATTGAACTCATTATATTTTAAAGTTATAGGTTCATATCTACTATTTATTGCAATTTAGAGAACTATTACTCATAGAGGTATTGGGTTCATATGAACCCAGTATCCCAAAGCTCCATCCGCCCCTAAGCACAGGTTGCTAACTCCCACCATCACAAGAAATTTTGCCCACCAAAGCTTAGGCATATGGGAAAGACTTCCACAAACGTTTTCTCAATTTTAACTTCAAATAATCTTTTTTTTTTGTTTCATCTGAAATATGGTCCAAATGCGGAATGAAATAGACCAGAACAGTCACAAAAAATTTACAAGTAGGACGCAACTAGTTTTTATTTCTTTAATCAGGTAAGGCTGAATTTCATTCAATAGGCATCCAGGGGATGTAAATCAGTACAAAAACTTAGTTAGCTCCTATACATTACTTATCCTCCTACCTAAAAACTCAAGGAGCTTACAAAATTAGGACCCAACTATTCCGGATTGAAACCTAGTTAATTGATTATTATGAGTAGACAATAAAATGTAGGAGCTAAAGAAGTAGAATATAAATTTATATAATAACAAAACGTACACACTCGGAACTACTTACTTTAAATTCTGGATTATGTATGTAAAACGTCGTAGACGAAAAAGAGAATTAGGGTTTATATTTTGTGACTTGCCTGAATAAGAATGCGAGTTTTGGAAGAAGGAGAAGGGCCGACGATTTCGACGACGTTGCCGGCGCGGAGAGGGATGCGATGAAGAGGTGGAGGTAGTGGTAAAAATGGCCGCTCCGAGAGAACCCTTGTTAGGAACTGCTTCGCCGTTTCGTCTCCTTCTATCCATTCTCTAGCCGACGCCATTTTCACACTCTCTCTGTTGCTCTGATGAAACGAAAAGGGAAAGTATAACCAGCTCGAGAGAAAATGACAAAATATTAGATTATGATATTTGAAAATATAATTTTGGTTTGATTTTGAAGTTTTATGAGTAATTTTAGTGAAAATTTTGAAAAATAGTTTTTTGGAGTTTGTCAAAATTTTTAAAATGTATTTTTAAGCGAAAATTAAAAATTTTATGAACAAATGCTAATTTCGAAAAAAGTATATTTTTTTAAAAGAAGAAAGAAATTTCTTATGTTCAAACGGTCTCTTGATATGGTCTCTTGATCCTTAAATTTATGATAAGATTTTTAGTCTTATAGTTAAGAGATAATACATAAAATGGATCTCGAACTTGTCCCGATAAATGAGTTTCGCAAGTAATCTTCTATTCCAATACATATGTAATTTTTACGGGTGTTCCAGTACCATCATATACTTATTAGAATTGATTAAATTTTTTTTTTCACCCTTGTAAGCCATCTCTCAGGCATGTTGTGCCTAATTGCAAAGGGGCGCGTTTATTGCTATTGTATAATCGTAAAAAAGGAAAACAATTACAACCCCCAACAGTAATATATTCCCCTTTCCTCCAATTTAATACTCGACTCACCCTATTTCTTCTTTCACCGTACCAACCCCACTAACCCTAATTTGTTTTTACTACCAAATCAGCCACAACTAACGTTCAAGTTTCGATATTTTAAGGCAACAGTAGGTAATTTTTAGTAATTTGAGTTAAATTTCGTTTAATTCTACTTAATTTATGTCTATTTTTCTTGTGTTTTGAACTGCAGTTAAGGTATATAATGGCTTCAAAAAGATTGAGTGGGCTTTGTACAGAAGAGGACGATCATGCATCTACTGAAAAAGTGCGATGTAATCATTGATATTTGCTGCCATTGTTGACTTCTTGAACCCCTAGGAATCCTGGTAGAAGGTATTTGGCTTGTTCATAATATGAGGTAAGTTGATTTAATTTTCAAGATTAAATCAGTTAATATATGAAGAAATTGAACTCCAAAATACCAACTTTATTGTTATTCATGATAGGGTGCTAGAGCATGTGATTTTTAGCGTTGGAGAGATGGAGAAATTGACCCTAAATCAAAGTTTGTTATTCCTAAATTGAAAGAGGAGATTGGAAAACTTGAGAGCCAAGTTAAAGTTTTTGAAAAATTAGACAATCTTATGGCAACAAAGAATGATGAACATGAGATTGATAAGATATGCATTCAACTACATTACTTGGAAACTGAAATGGAGAAGATGTAAGAAAAGGAGAAGAATGGAGGAGCAAAGTTGCTTAATCAAGGAAAGGAAAAGGGAGAAGGTTCTTTGGTTTATCATTTTATGTTGTTTAATTATCGATGTTAATAGTAGGATTCAAGTGAATGAGGATGAATTGAAGTTGCCATATGCTCTTTGTTTCTCTTATCCATTTGGTACATTTGTTGAACCTTGTTGGTATATGATACAATTTAATATTGGTGAATCCTTTCCGATGGTCTATCAGAGACATCCTCTCTTCTACTCCAGAGTAGGGGTAAGGTTTGTGTATACACTACCCTCCTCATACCCTACTTATGGGATTCCACAGATTTTTGTTATTGTTGTTGTTGTTGTTATTGTTGTTGTTGTTGTTGTTGTATTATCTCTTCTTGGAATGAAATTGGTTATTGTTTTGAATCTAAATTGATTTGTTTAAGTTTATTGAATCCCTGAAATGTATTGAAAGATCCTAATAGAAATAGGCATAATCGCAGTCAATAATCACCACTAAAATGCAGTCATTGCTGCTCCATAATAACACCATTCATTAGTTACAATAATTACCATAAAGAACAACATTTGTTCCAAGCATTTTAGTCACATAATACTTAATATTGCAATCACAGCTGCTAACACAAAAAATTGCAGTCACAGCTGCTAATACAAAAGATTGCATAATTGCAGTCACAACTACTAACATAAAAGAGTGCATCATTGCAGTCAATGCTGCTAACACAAAAGAGTAACTACTCTACATAACCATACATCATAAAGTTCATAATAGTCTGCCAAGTACACAAGATGTATTTAAGGTTTCCATGGTAGTGAAGACTGTGTTGTGGAGCTTCCTTGACTTAACTATGCAGCTCTTGACCTTGTCCGGGCGACCTTTTTTCCTCTTATCTGATGAAGTTGTCTTTGTGTCACTGCTGCTTTTCCTTTCAACTTTACTCCAGTTGATGGTGTGTGCCCAATATCACTATTCTCAAGTGATATCTGCTGAAGATATCTGCCCAATATCTGTTGAGCGGAGAGTACTTCTACTCGAAAATATGAGATGTATCCCCCTAGGTGAAAAGGTTCTACCCTAGTTAAGCTATGAAAACAACCTGAGCGAAGAGTACTTCTACCTAAAAATATGAGTCGGATCCCCCCTAGGCGAAAAGGTTCTACCCGAGTTAAGCTACGAAAAACAGCATGAGCGAAGAGTACTTCTATCTGGAAATATGAGTTAGATCCCCTAGGCGAAAAGGTTCTACCCGAGTTAAGCTACGAAAAACAGCATGAGCGAAGAGTACTTCTATCTGGAAATATGAGTTAGATCCCCTAGGCGAAAAGGTTCTACCCGAGTGAAGCTAGTAAAACAGCCTGAGCGAAGAGTACTTCTACCCGGAAATATGAGCGGGATCCCCTAGGCGAAAAAGTTCTACCCGAGTTAAGCTACGAAAATAGGCTGAGCGAAGAGTGCTTCTACCCGAAAATATGAGCTGGATCCCCCTAGGCGAAAAGGTTCTACCCAAGTTAAGCTACGAAAATAGGCTGAGCGAAGAGTGCTTCTACCCGAAAATATGAGCTGGATCCCCCTAGGCGAAAAGGTTCTACCCAAGTTAAGCTACGAAAATGAGAGGTATGAACAGTAGTGATGCATGCTGAAAATAAAAGAAAATGGAGATTTTGAGGAACTTACCTTTGGCGACATTCGTCTTTTGAGAATGGCCATTTTGCGCCGCTTTGTTCCTGCTTCAAACAAAGAAAAAATTGTGAGTTTTCAAAGCGGTGGTCGTTTTGTGGTCTTGATGCCCTGCCGAAGGAGTAGGAATTGGCTCACTAGGTTCTTCAACTAAAAAGTGAGTAGTTTGAATACACGACCACTCCGTTGTCGAAAAACTGATTCTGTCACTCTGGTACCGAGATGCTCGAATACTATGTATTGCTTTCTGGAGACCTTGGCTTTTTGACTCTACCCCTAACTGTTTCATATCCGGATGTCAATGGTATAGCTAATCCTTGTCCCTAAGGAAAGACAATTTTTCCCTTTAAAATCAAACTTAGTTGTCTTACGCCCAGTACCAGTTTGTGTTCGTAGTGCTATCAACTTTTTCCGTGAAGCAAGTCTTGCTTAGGCGACCTTTTTAGTTTATTTGAGACACTTTGTTTAGCTTATCAAAAGAGATCACAAATATTTGTGCCTTTGTCAATGTCGTATATGCTCCAAATTGTGCTCGGTATTACGGGAAAATTGTAGCCAGTTTTGCAACCATTTCTTTGCTTCGCTTTTGGTGCAAGATTAGACCGAAAGGAACTCAACGAAAATTATGGGTAAAAAGAGAAGAACAATTGAAAGTGAAAAAGAACTTTGTTTAAACAAAAGGTGTCCCCTTCGGGGAAGGAACAGGGAGACTTATCTGGAGGTATGTGCCAACTTCAATGAATCAGGACATGCATTTTGGACTAGACGCCTGATCCATCTGAGCTGTCTAATTCTCAAAATCTGTTACAAATGTTCGTCTTGAAACTGAGTTCTTGGTTGTGCTCATGCCGGAGTATCGAAGGCCCTCGTTCGGCCAGTAGCGCCCTTTGCGGATTTTTGCTAACTGACCTCTCTCATTTCTCTACTCACCATCGCCTTATAGTGCCGATATGAGTTTTCACCAATAAGACTCTCTCATTTCTCTACTCATTGTCGCCTTACGGTGCCTATACATGTTTTTACCGATTAGACTCTCTCATTTCTTTTTCTTTTTTTCTTTGCCGCCCTTTGATCTCGTCCAATTTCACATCTCAATTCAAGGTTATGAAACGGTTGATTGCAATAATAGTACCCAACAAGAGTCGGGGTCGATTTTCACAAGGAGCTAGATATTGGAGTTAGGAGTATATATTGTATTACGTGAGTTTGGCTATCTTAATTTACACTTCCACAAATTTGGGTTCTTTCTATGTCTAATTTAAAACTAAGATTGCAAAGTTGAGAAATAAAACTAAGAGAATTCTTTTTTTGTTTTTCAAATTTTGTAAAACGACTAGGGATATGACTATCACCTAGGTGTTTGCCTAATGGGATATAAACCTTAATGCTTGTTTTATTGATCGGGGTGTATTATAGCTATCAACTATCAATTACCCACTCAATACCTCTCGGTCAGAGAGTGATTTTGCCCAATTTGGCTTTCTCAAGTCCAATTAGCATTGCACAAAACGGTTGATAAAAGCTCAAGTCGGGTTATTACTATTTCTAGGTTGAACCCTTTAATTGGGATTATCAATCTCTCGATTGATCCAATTTCTTGTTAGCCAAGTCTTCCTAGAATAAGTCTCTCTTTCTCAAGAAGAGACTAAGTCAAATAGGCATGAATTAATGTTTGCAACCATTAATTCCACAAATTAAAGCATGAACAACGCAAAATAATAAACACTCAACCATAAACAAGCATTAAATTAAACACCCATAAGGTTTACATACTAGGGTTGGGTCACAACCCTAATAAAAATCTAGCTACCCATGCTTGAAATTGAAGAAATAAAATAATAAATCATAATTAAACTCATATTGTAAAATTAAAATGATAAAATCTATGTTAAAATATCCCAAAATATAAAAAACTACTAAAAGAAGCAAAGAGAAACGACTATTGTAGCTACTGATGTCAAAAGTTGACCTAAATTTGTGAAACTCGTCTATTTATACAGGGCTGGAAATTTCGGACAAAAATACCCTTCAGGAGGTTCTGCGGCCGCACAATTCCATGTGCGGTCTGCAGATT